AAAAAAAAATATCCAAGATTTAGCTCTGATACCAAATTTGATGCAGCACTAATGGGATGATTAATAGAAATAGAAGAAAGATTCAGAAAGAATTGTGAATTAAGGGAGGGGATAGAAGAAGAAGAATTCAATAGAAAAAGGGGAGGGATGCGCCATAAGCCACCAAAATAATTATTCATTCATCATCGTTTCAAAATTACAATGCAAAATAGGTTTAAATAGTAAAGCAACCCTAATGAGCTTGGGCCCGAGCTCATACAAGTCCAAATTTAAATAATAGTCCTAGAAAATAAATAAAATTTAAATAAAATAAGTAAACGTTGTCCGATGTCCTCATCAAATGGGCATAGGTACCTCTCCAACGCACCTCTCCAACGCGTCTGCTTCTAGAAACACCAGCTATCCTAATAATTGCATTTTTAATTCGACGGCGCCAGCGCTTTGGAAGTCGTAACGGTTCAGCTACCTTTCCTCGAAAACAAGCACAAAACATCAAATCATTGGCTCAGCTATCAAGGCACAATCATTACCATTGGACCCCGACTTCCTCTCTACGTTCAGCCATCAAGCCTCGCAGGTTCGGTTTCTCAACCACCTCGGCTTCCTCTCTACATTCAGCCATCAAGCCTCGCAGGTTCGGTTTCTCAACCACCTCGGCTTCCTCTCTACATTCAGCCATCAAGCCTCGCAGGTTCGGTTTCTCAACCAGCTCGGCTTCCTCTCTACATTCAGCCATCAAGCCTCGCAGGTTCGGTTTCTCAACCAGCTCGGCTTCCTCTCTACATTCAGCCATCAAGCCTCGCAGGTTCGGTTCCTCAACCACTTCGGCTTCATCTTCAAAATTGGTCACTTCTCCCAAGAGATCGCCTGCACAGATCTTATTCGAATGATTGATGGAACGTTTGTCATAAGCATAAAGGTCAAGTCTTGTCACTAGCATGAAGGCCCTGCATAAGCAATAAATGCGCCGTAAGCTAGCAAGTCAAGTCCCATGCCTGAGAACAGACATTTGAACTAAGGAGATGAGGTCACGTGCCACTTCATCCAAGGGCTCCCATTCCATATGTATCACTATAAATACCCCCATTGTATAATGTAAACGGCTAATGCAAGAATCAATACTAAAGACTACATTTTACTCAACTCTCTCTCACTTGCTTGCAATACACAAATCGAATTTATACACTTTTACATATACATTTATGAGCACCGGTTGGTAATTATTGTACAATCGGATTACGAACAACCCACCGGATTCCGAACGTCACCGTCCCGCGTCGTTGGGCTACTCCCACGCCCCTTTGAACCGCTCGTTTTAGACCGTCCACGTGTCTTAGCGTGTTGGACATTCATCCACGCAAGCGCGGGTGGGATCGGCATCTGTTGGCGCACTTTTTGGGGTCAACAAGTTTAATTCACACATTTAATACCATTTAAACTTAATAAATTGTTCGTTCTTGAGAGTTTTTAGAACGTTTTGATGTGTATATTAGCGTTGTGTTATATGTTAGGTAATATGGTGAAAGGGGGCTAATCATGAAACTTGACAAGGCCAAAGAGCGGTGTTGATATGAGCCAATAAAAAGTGGATTTGAAATCATACAAAGAAAGAAGTGAAGTTGAAGAAAAAGAGAGATAATATTACAATCGATGTTCCAAGGCACTATGTTGACTAGAATAATGCACTGATTGGGCGCCTAAGCGCCACGTCGAGCAAGAAATCAGGACAAAAATATAGAGATGAGGTGTCTAGGTGCCACAACTGGCACACAGGCGCCCACGGCTAATAGAAATCAATAGGGAGCTAGTGCCCTCGAACAGTTTTTAACTTTTTCTTCTCTATGTTATCAATCATGAATTCTAGACATTCTTAATCTGCAGTCATGAACTAACTTTCTCATCTAGAGTTTGATGTAATCTAAGCTTGAGATTATGTTTTGAGTTTCAATAATTATTTTTTTTTATGATTTTCTTTTAAAGTTTATTTGTGTTGTTTATTCTTAATGATTTCAATTAAACTGGCCATTAGCTAATTGATTTGATTGTTTAAGTTTTGACGCCCCACAACCTAGGTTTTATAGGTTTTGAGAGAAAATATAATTTATTTGAAACGTTTTCACAAAGAACCATAGAAATTATGAATTCTTAGATTTTTAATTTGGAATAGAGATATTGGAAGTGAAATTTAGAAATGATTTTTATTCGACATTTGAGCGAGGGAGTTGAAATATATTAGGATTCTTGCTTATAAAATTGAAAAACTAATTGGAGATAATTACAGAACTGAGAAACATAATTGATAATTAGATGGAATCAAAACCCTAAGCTCTTCTTGTATTGCTTAATCCTTAAAACTTTGCTTAAAATTGTTGATTTAGTCAAACTTTCACTGTAGATTTAGTTATAAACATTGATAATAAAATCCCATTGTCTAGATAAAACAAATGCTATATGATTATAGTATTTAGTAAGAATTTGATTATCATTTCCTGTGGATTCGATATTCTAAC